GGCTAAAACCTGAAATCCTTTATCTCTAATGATGAAAAAAAAAAAAAAAAGGTGAATACTTCCACAGAGGTGGACTCAGTTTAGACAGCCCCCCTCTTCCTGCTGCACACGTTTTCAGGTTCATCTTGAAAGAATCACAGAATCACAGAATTATCTAGGCTGGAAGAGACCCTCGGGATCATCGAGTCCAGCCATCCACCCTAAAGTTCTCCCCTACACCATATCCCCCAACACCACATCTAAATGACTCTTAAACACATCCAGGGATGGTGACTCAACCACCTCCCTGGGCAGCCTATTCCAATGCCCGACCACTCTCTCTGTGAAGAATTGTTTCCTAATGTTCAAGAGAAGGAATCTAATTAAGCTCCCAGTCAACACACCCCGTGTCCAAATTCTCCAGACAGAAAACTGAATTACCCATCCTCTCATTTCTGTTATTAATAGAAAACGCGAGGAACGACGACCGATTTGGTCCCTCCGGTACCCGGCTTTTCTCTTGGGAAGGCTGATTTAAAAAAAGCACGTTAGGACAGTAAAAAGCAGGCTCCCAGCTGACTTACCTCCACTTTAAGGAGCTCGCAGCCTTTCAGGAACTCTTGGATGTTCCCAATGCACTCAGCTTCATTTTTCGGCTCCGGGCAATACTAAAGAGAGAGAGAGAGAGAGAAAAAAAAAAATCCAGTGAGATGATGGCTCTGCCTCCTGCCTCCTCTTCGGCAGGCCCGGGGGAATATTGACATGTGCTGTTTATAGTGAATTAGGGAAGCTTCTTGCCGGGGAAGGGCTGGGGGCGGCAGGCAAGCTGTCGAGGCAGGAAGAGCCGGCGGAGGAAGTGATGCGCACGCCGCCATGGTGGTGGGTACCAACGTGTGACAGTGGCCCCCCGGCCACCACGAGACACCCACGGGCCTTTAGGAACAGGTCACCCCCAACCATCACCCACAACGAAAAGATAGTCAGCAAAATTCAATTTTTTTCAATTTTTTTTTTGCAGAATAAAGGCTTCCGTTCTACAGGGTGGAGAACCTCTTGGTGTTCTGGTGCCTTTTTGGTTTTTTTTTTTAAATTAAACAGTTTCTCTTCTGTGTTGCCATTTCCTATCTCGCACTGGACTCCTTCCCTTTTTTTCTCCTGCAGTTACTTGTCACACTTTCGGGGTGTCCTGAGGATCTGTGAGGATCTGCCTTGCAAAAAATCCACCCAGAGGAGCTCGCTCGGCTTAAAGGGCTTCAGCACCCGGGGGTTTGCTGGCCTTGGGACAGCCCAAGGTGGCCCAGATGCAAGGTTTGGCACTTATTCCCAACCTCAGCTGCTTCTCTGCTGGATTTCCTGACTAACACAGTGTTTTACAGCAGGAGTGACTATATTTACAGCGGTAATTAACGGTATTTACGTAAACACAGACAACCTGCATATCCTTCTATTCAAAACCAAGGTATTTTCATCTCTGGTAGGGCTGGTATTTCCTGTCACCGCACGAAGGCGCGTAACTCGGCCAACTGCCACCTTTGGGGGGGGTTCTGGGTGTAGAGACAAAATCAAAGAACTGAAGCCCTGACGGGACTTATCATAGAATCATAGAATGGTTTGGGTTGGAAGGGACCTCAAAGATCATCCAGTTCCAACTCCCCTGCCCTGGGCAGGGACACCTCCCACCAGACCAGGTTGCTCCAAGCCCCATCCAGCCTGGCCTTGAACCCCTCCAGGGATGGGGCAGCCACGACCTCCCTGGGCAGCCTGTTCCAGTGCCTCACCACCCTCACTGTAAAGAATTTCTTCCTCGTATCTAACCTAAATCTCCCCTCCACCAGCTTAAAACCATTGCCCCTTGTCCTGTCGCTACTCTTCTTTGTAAAGAGTCCCTCTCTGGCTCTTCTATAGGCTCCTTTCAGGTACTGAAAGGCCGACTTCACCCTCAGTGAGATACAGCCAATAACTGAAATGTAAAACGTTCATCTCCGATGCTCCTCAATCATCATCACAGCGAGAAACACCCCCCTCAAAAGGAGCAGTGTTTTGGGGAAGAGCGCACCATTTGAGGCCGGTAAAACTTAAGAGTTACCTTTTCTGCAGCTCCCGGAAGAAGGCGATTAAGGAGTTTACAAAGCACCGTTCCATCCCTCAGGGAAGTTTTCAGGAACTCCTCCGGATCGTCTAGGATTTTCTTGGGGGAATTCAAAACTCCTAAGGAAATGAGCCAGGTCACAATTTGCTCCTGGGGATTCATGGCGGGGAGTCGTGCCGCCGGCGCAGCGGCAGCAGCAGCAGCAGCAGCAGCTCGCTGGAACCCACATCCGTGATTGCATCTTCCTGCCTCTGCACAACCCAACTGTGAAACTGACCTTTTTTTTTTTTTTTTCCTAAATATTATTTATTTATTTATTTATTTTGGCTCAGCGCAGAAACTCACCAAATCTTAAGAACCGGAAGTTTTGTCACACAAAGGGGAAGAAACTTTTTTAAATAAAGACACGGCGAGGGCAGACCTTCAACTACGCGTTTTCAACGTTATTGGAAAAAGAAATGTTTTATCGTGGAGGCTTATTCCACCAAAAAAAGATCTTACCTTCCTTCCTCAACTATTTTATTCAAGAAGCACACAAATATTCCAAACTGGAATGAAAACAAACCTCCTGGTTAAAATTTATGAACTTTTCAAAGTGGAGTCATCCAAAGCTGAGAATGAAAGCGTCCAACTACTCCCCTTGTCCTACTGGAATGTCCCTTCCCAGCAGCTCTTCAGGATCCGTGGTACGAAGACGCGGCAGTACCAGGTTAAAATTTATGAACTTTTCAAAGTGGAGTCATCCAAAGCTGAGAATGAAAGCGTCCAACTACTCCCCTTGTCCTACTGGAATGTCCCTTCCCAGCAGCTCTTCAGGATCCGTGGTACGAAGACGCGGCAGTACCAGGTTTTCACCCTGCTCTGGGACAGAGTTATCCACCACGATCAGATGGATTAATTTAAATTAATTTAGAAAAATCATCTTGCAGATTTCCTTATACTTCCTAACTGCCCTTTGACCAGAGCAGGTGGAAAACAAAGCCATTTTCTTAGTTCCCCATTCCAAAGTTAACGAGAGCACCATGGATTGAAGCAGTAAAATAGGGACAAATGACCCTGGAGCCCAGGATTTCTCAAGTGACAATATTTGGAGCCAACTCCTAACCCCCATACTTGAAGCAGCTGTTTCCAAAACATCTTCAACTCATCATTTAAAAGATCAGGAGAAAGAGAACAGCAAAAGGGCAAGTTACACACAGTAAATATGCATCATTTTGTGTCTACACTCCCCACGCCCCGTGGTTGGCGCTGGGACCAAGGATTATTTCTAGCAGCCACCACTAAGAAACCAGAATTGCCCATTTAGGCTTAAGACAGACTTTTGACCTTCACGAGGCCGTGGGGACGAGCTCCAGATCTCTGCTGGGGAAACACCCTCCCCAAAAGTTGGCTTCTTTTGAGCCCAGCCTTGGGGAGAATCAATAGAAGTGGTTTTGAGGATGAAGTCACCAGGAAAGCGCCAAGCCCCAAGGTCTGTGGGGTGATGAAAGAGGATCCCAGGGTTTTCCACCTTGGGTGTGGGAGCAATCTCTGCCTGTTTGCTATTACCAAGCAGGCCTGAGTTTCACTCCTGTGCCTTTGCTCTAAAGCAAAGCTTTTTTTTGTGTGGAAAAAAGCAGGTTTAGTTCCACGACTATTTCACGTGCAGCTGTTGCACCCACGCGGATGGCGATGGTTGAAACTCCAATTAAAAAAAAATACTTCCCCCAGTTTGAACCGTTACCAACTGCTCGAAATACTGACCTAGAGTCACAAAGTCCCCGAATTTAAGGTATTTCTCATTGACAGTCTTTCAGAACACCAGGACCTATCTAAAAATGCTGCAGCGTGTTCACCCACCCCCAGAGTAACATGAATTCTGTGGCAGAACCCAAGAGCTGAGGGCATGGGCACCGATCGAGGAACACCTTCTAGTCTGGCCCTTGGAAAAATCTGGTTATATGCTGACAGGGACAAATCAAATGAATTCTGTCACCTCTTGCAGACTCAATCTCCACCCCCAAGTTACAAATCCACTTTTATTTACACTCTGATTTACATCAGTTGATGACTTTTTAAAAAAAAAAAAAAGGGGGTGGTGGTTTATACCCCATTAACAAAGGACTCCGATACGTCAGGGACACTGGAGCAAGTGAAGGACATTCAGATAACACATGAGAGCGTTTGTTCTCAAAGTCACTCACTTTTACATAACTTGCCCTTTTTTTCAGCATTTTCAGGGAAAACACCCAAAACAAAGAACAACCCTGGAGTATTTTCCTGGCGCCGAATCTACGGAGGCCTGACATTTAAACCAGTCACCTTCAATGCTGAAGTGTGAGCCCATGCCAGAGCTAACACAAACGTACCACCCACATGAAGTTATTCAGCATTTTAGGCAGGTATCAATCTTTCTCCATGTGATAGCTCATGTTAGCATTTGATTTTAGCCAGGATGGTCTGCTTTAGCCTAAAAAGCAGTGCCCAGACTATAAAATACTGCTTAAAAACCAGTCTCATCATCTCACAGCATATTGTTTTCTTGCACGTGATACCTGCTTAAAAACCAGTCTCATCATCTCACAGAGTATTATTCTTTCTTGCACATGATATACTCTCAGACCACTTTGTACCAACAAACCTCCATCAACACGTCACACCAGCAATCTTTTCTGCCACCCAAGTGTTGCCGAGTAACAGGTTTGGTTTTAAATTAAAAAAAAAAAACCAAAAACAAATCCACCACACTTTTACCCTGGGAAATACTGCAATCCTACCCGTTTGCTCCACAGAGGCAGCCTCACTCCTACAATTCACAGTCCATGACTGTCGTTTAAAGTCATATTCTGATCCCAAAACCCAAAGGTTGTTTTAAATCCCTGTAATGAGTAGATAAAGAAATAGCAGGGATAAACCGTTCTTTGTTTAAATGACACCAGTTTACACCCACCAGAGAAGTAAGCATCAACTTTATTAGCTATGACTGTTTTTAGTCAATCAGAAGTTAAGTTTTCCACATGAAATACTGGTGCTCTCTCACCCACGACCTCATCAACATATACGTGGGGTAAAAATGCATCAAAACCAAGGCAAAGTTTTGGAGAAAGCATCTTGTTGCAAGAGATGCAGTGCTGCCTGGAAGTTTGCCACAAGCCAGTACATACAGAAACACCAATTATTCTGGGGATTTATCACTAATAGTGTCTCAGTACGTCAACATTTCCTTCCTCTCTTCCAGAAGGCATCAACAGTTATAAAACTCTTGATGTAAGAATATAGTAAAACTTTTCATGGTTTCTTGGTGAAGAAGAATTTGTGACAATCTAGTCCTCCGCATTTTAGAGGAATAAAACTCACTTTTATACAACTTGCTCTTTTTTTTCAGCATAAACAGAAAGCACCCTCTGTAAAGGGCAATCCTGGACTATTTTTCTGCTGCAGAATCTACTGATGCACTCAAAAAAAATGCTCACTCTTGACTCTTGGAAGATGGTGGCTACGGCAGACAGTAACTGACTTCCACCTGAGAATTTTGTTTTGTATCCAAGAGATTAGTAGTGCTACTTTCAAAGAACAATTCCTGGATTGAGACACAACAGTCTGAAACAAAGAGGGGGTAACACCACACTCAAAAGCCAAGCTTTATCAGCTGCAGTTTGTTATCCTTCCATTTTCCAAGGCACATCCACGGCTGCGCTGCCACCTTCCTCACCGTAACTGAAAAAAGGAAAGGCAAGTTAGTACACTCTGCAAAACCAGGAGACAAAAAACCTGAATCATCTTTGGTTGTGTCTGTACACACAAACGCAGACATTTGGATGATAATCCATTTGTCCCAACAATATGAAAAGATACCAGTAGGAACTACAGTAATCAAAACTACCCAAGGATACATACGCCCCTCCAAGCTCTCGCCTGCCACAAACCACCACTAGCTCTTGGCCATCTCAATGTGACGCTCAGGAATCCTACAATTAACTGGTACACACACTGGTACTGAGCTGTAAATAACAATGGGCTATAAATTAAACAGAACTTCTGATCAAGGAAAGGTGAGCTTGCCAAGTTAGTACAATTACTGGAGCATCTCTCTTATGAGGAGAGGCTGAGGGACTTGGGTCTTTCTCCTTCTCTTCTGGAGAAGAGAAGGCTGAGGGGGGATCTGATCAATGCTTATAAATACTTCAAGGGTGGGTGTCAGGAGGATGGGGCCAGTCTTTTTTCAGTGGTGCCCAGGGACAGAACAAGAGGAAATGGGCACAAACAAGCTCAATCTCAACATGAGGAGGACCTTCTTTCCTGTGAGGGTGGCAGAGCCCTGGCAGAGGCTGCCCAGGGAGGTGGTGGAGTCTCCTTCTCTGGAGACATTCAAACCCCACCTGGACACGTTCCTGTGGGACCTGCTCTGGGTGGTCCTGCTCTGGCAGGGGGTTGGACCAGATGATCTCCAGAGGTCCCTTCCAACCCCATAGCATTCTGTGATTCTGTGACTACATCCTTATTTTTTTACAAAGTCAGTATTACCTGTCCTATCACATGGTCAGTTAAGTTCTATTTACTGCTCCCTGAACTCCCACTGGCACCACACCAGGTAAGAATTTAGAACTGTTTTTAAGCTGCAGAGTAGGCTGAGAAAGTGCACTTTTAATACCTTTAATTACAACATGGCCAACTACCACCAGTGGCACATATACATTAAAGAGTTGAAAACATTCTGACACAACCTGTACGATGATTTGGCAAAACCTTTTAAAGTTGCTTATTAAAGACAGCACCCCATCTCTTTATTAGAGGATTCATGATCTGTATCAGCCTCAAACTGAAGTTTAAAAAATTACTCCTGCTAATTTTTAGCAGGTTTTTCGGGGAGCAGGGGCAAAGAGTTTACTTTTAGGCATATTTCCCTAACCCATTTTGGTGCCATACTACTGACATCAGTGATTTTTGCATGAAAAAAGGTTAGGGTTTTTTTATCTTTAAAAAAACTACCTACAGTTCAACTGGTGTCCTTTCCAGGAGGATTCGTGATTTAAATATTCCAACAGTCACAGTTGAGAGAAACATAAAGTAACACTTTTTTGTTGAGTGAAATTTTATCAAGTGACAGAGAAACAAAAAGTTGGTCAGACAGCAGCTTTTGTTTTTTTTAACTATATAGTTCTTTTGACTCAGGACAGAAAATCCCCGTGATGATTCCGTGTTTGATCTGAAATACAATCCAGTACTCTGCAATAAAGTGTCTCTTTTCTTATCAGGGTAACCATAGCCACTTATCAGGAGTATTTACAAAATATTACTGCATATTCTGACAAAAGCATTGCACTGATATTTAGTTGCTGTTGCTGAGACTCTAAAAAGAGTAACTGTAAGACAACTGAGATGACAAACATCAGTCAGGATGCAACAGAACCTCTCCTTCACACAAAAGGGAGCTTCCCTGAAACCACCGACCATGTGTCAGATGAAAAACACTGTTACCAACTACAGGCTTTTTCTTTCCACCATGTCAAAGTTGGTTCTTAAAATCCTTTTGAAGCCAACAGCAAGATATGTTGTTACATTCACAGAGTACTTTGAAAACTAATAAAAAAATTACAGAAAAAGTACACAGACTCCCTGTGTAAACGCTTCCCTCAGAAAAGGGATTTGTTCTTCACTACAGACTAGATTTTAACAGGTTTTGCACACGTTAAAAGTTATTTCCTTTTTTTTATTCACTACAGACTAGATTTTAACAGGTTTTGGATACGTTAAATGTTATTTCCTTTTTTTTTTAATGAGTAACAATTATTTAGTAGAAGTTTTTTTAAAAAACTGAATTAGCACAACAGCCACTACTGCATTTTTTTTCCCCATGAGTTATCAGAGAAGGAGAACAGTCAGTCAGGAAGCCTGAAGACAGTTGCTCCTACATTTATTTGAACCCTTATTTTAATAGGGTAGGCTTCAAAGTCATAAACCCAGGTGACCTACAAAGTTTTAAACCCTTCTAGACATGCCTGGAAGTCTGCAATTTAATCCAAGGACCTCCACAGAGATTAATGACTAATGGAAGATTATGCTCAGTATAATCACTAAATTGCTTGTTCCAGACATTTAACAAGACTGATTAAATGTCTGTACTGATATTCATTATCCCAATTCAGATTTTTATGGTCTGGTCTTATGAAGATTCCTAGACTAAGCACTCTTTACAGCATGATTTATAAAGTGTGTTTATAATTGTATTACAATTCAATAGTAGTTCAATCATACCTAAATAGGCCCAATTTCTGCAGATGAGAAGTGTCTGTCATTCCTAGAGAAGATTAAGAAGTCTATTTAAACCTTCTCCTCCAAAATTCAAAGAGAAAGTTGAAAATACTATTTGGCCACCAAGAGCATCAGCAAGAATCTTCCTTCTGGCTATGACACCATAGCATAATATTTACCTTGCATATTGGTAGAGGCACCACCCATCTCTGCCCATCAGCACAGATGAACTGGAGTTACTTCAGCGCTATCTTCCAGAAGTTATCACCCTGCAAACAAGAAAAGATACAACCAGTTGAGAAAAGTACATTTTACAGCACGTGTCAACCTACAGCACTTCCTTCCCCCCCCCACATCCCCCCCCCCCCGGCCCGATTTCAAAAAAAAAGTCACAAGCTTGGGTTTTGCAGGTTATTCTGTTGCAAGTTTTACTACTTCTCTTTTAAGTGGAGGAGGATTCACTGGCTTGGGATGGACTGGGATGGCTCAGTGAGAGGTTGCATGGCTTATGGATTCTCATTCCTTTTCAATGGTGCACTGCCATGTTAAATCCATAAGTTGAACGACAAAATTTACTGAGGACTAAACAGTAGCACAAAGCTTTGGGTTTTGTGATTATTTCTATTATTTATTTTTTTTTTTTTTTAGTTGGAGGTCTTCACGTCTACTATATTCAAGAGCATCTTTTGAACTTCATGGCTTTACCTGAGTCATAGCAACTTGCCCCAGGTTCTGCCACACGTATTAGACATCCCTGTAACGCAGTGTCAAACCAAACAAGAGTCAGGCATCCAACTAAACGTCAAGTTTGCAATGGCTTGCTTCAAACTCCCAATTGCCGAGCGGGTATTTGTCAATCTAAACCAATTCCTCATTTTGCAAGGCTTTAATTTTGTTAAAATATAACATATGCAGCCTCTTTAAGCATCTTCACTGAAAGATACTGGGCACAAAATACCCCCTCCCAACCCTACTTGTCAATAGTCTGTCTACAGTGAGCTGCACTATGTCTTTAGTTTCAAAATTGGTGCCATAAATTGCTTTTATCCAAGAAGAAATGTTGAATTTGGAGAACTTCTAATGTATTGAAGCATTTCCTTTTTTTTTTTTTTAAATCTAGACAGCACTTCCATTGCCATGACGTGCAGCTTGTCTTACTTTACTAGTGGAAGGTAACTTGGTTCAATTTTGACTTAGACTGAAAAACTAGTTTGCTTTGCTTACCATCTTTGCTGTTTCACAGGCATTTGATGCTTTAAATCAGCTGTGGAATGCTGAAAGATTCACTTGTTTTTATGAAGCCATAAGCCTTTGAGAAGTTGGAGAGAAAGACTTCTTTGCTTATCTTATTTTCTCCTTTGGAATCAAAGATGTTCCTTTAAAAGTGAAACACTACAGAGTTGCAAAAATTTGAAACAGTATGAGTAAGCATCGTTTTGCAGCTTCTTTGATGGAATTGGTCAACTTTTTTTTTTATTTTAACAGTATTCTGTAGCTGACTTACATGTACATGATTAATTTGGAAGGGAGATCTTTTCAAACTCCCCATTAATAAGCAGGAAGGCAGAAAATAGTATTATCCACTTGCTTTTTCAGGTTAAGTGAATGAAATCCTCTACTTTTCTTTAACACAAGGATCAGAAGACATTTGATTTTGTACTGGGAACACTGTGACTTCAAATTCTAGGCAAAACTGAACTTTGTGTGGAATATCCCCACCACCCTCCAAATCACAAGCAATATTTTGTTTAAGAATGAGATGCCGAACATGTAGAACAATCCATCTCCATGTTAGATGGTTGGATGTTGTGTGGAAGATCTTAACGATCTGCTTGTTCCATTCATGAGGAAAATCAGATGGGAAGTGTGGCATTTCAGGGAAACTTTACTTTGAAAATTACAACACTAGTACACAGCTCAGGTTTTATACATTTAACATCTGCTTTTTGAAAGAAATGTTAACAATTTTGAAATGAAATTAAACATTGGTTTAACTTTTCCTCACAAAAGCATCAAAGTCATGGATGGGAAAACTTAACAGGCAACAATAAAAAAAGGTAAAAACAACTTTTCCTTTTAGTAGTCCTCTGGTAGTAAAGATAGAACAGCTTCCACTTTGCTTTTTTTTTTTTTTTTTTTTTGAGAAGTAAATCTGTCTTGGTCCAAAAGTTTAAGAGTGTTTTTTTAGTATCTGCTTCTGCCTCCACCTCTATCGGATCTGCTTCCGCCACGGCCACCGCCTCTGGGCGCTCCGCGGCTCGAACTACTGTAAGAATCCCGAGGAGGTGGATAACCCCTTTCCATGGATGGGGGAAGCCCCCTGTCTTGTCTTCCGACACGATCACGGCCACTTGAGTAGACATCACTTCTGCTGCTTGAGTAACTTTCTCGGCTTCCATATCCATCTCGTGTGCTGCCGTAATCGTCATAGCGACTGCTTCCACCATAAGATGGCGGGGGCCCTCGTGCAGGTGGAGCACTACGTGAGTTACCTGCAGGGTCAATGGTCAGGTAATATGGCAACACCATAAGTTATATAGCACAATTTCAATCTGAATTTACAGAACTGCTGTATTTAAAAATGTTTACCGCTACTCTTTGGTATGTATTGCGATGTTCTTAATATAATCTGCCACGTTAATGGTATTTAAAGTGGGGATTGCATTATCAGGCAGTGAGTGGATTTTAAAGACTCTGAAGGAATGAAGACGGTGTTTATTCAGGCAGGCTCTTTACTGGGTATTCCAGAACAGCTTGTTATTTTAGAGAAGAAACTCGGCCATATTTTCCAGAGATAGTTGCAATTCTGAACTGTAGACTTTGCTTCTTTAGCTTAGAGCTTATTTAACAGGATGATCAAATGATAACCAACAACTGCACTTTCACTGGAGGGGGGGAAAAAAGCGTGCCACTTCCCCCTAAAACACGAGCAACCTAGTAAAAGCTGGTTTTATGCCATCTGTACAGATTTTACTACGTGATCCTCAAAATGGATTCTTACCATAACTCTCGTATGAATCTCTGTAGGAGCCACCGCTTGGATGATCTGAGTAGTCTCTGTCACGCCCTCCACCGTATCCGTCACGATCGCTATAGGAGGAAAGACTACTAAGACTTAGTACAAATCAGTAAGATCGCAGCAAGAATAAAGAGACAGGGGAAAAAAAAAATCCAACAGTAGGTACCTATATCCCCTGGAGGGGTATTCATCACGTGAGCTGGAATGACCGTAATCACGATACGCGTAGTCTCGTGGGGGTGGCGCGTAGTCCCGCGTATCCCTGGAACTGGGATAATCTCTGCTCGAGTAACTACAACAGAAGAATTGAGATGTTAGCTCTATGCCAGGCCTCAAAAATCAGGCCTCTAAGTCAAGGATCAAAATCCCTTCTCTGAACAACCACGCCCCCCAAACTGAATCACTGAAAGAACTTACCCGTCCTTAGTGCTATAGCCATCATCTCTTGGAGACATATAGACATCTCTTCGCGATGGCATCGGTTCTCTGCGGGGAGGACCACCGTAACTGTCTCTTCCACGTGACACAGGAGCTTCAAGAGAAACAGTCCACATTTTTTAACCTAATTTGCAGGAGACTCAGGGCAAATAAGCATCAGCACACTGTTTATAGTGATTTAAAAGTACCTCTGAGCCTATACTTAAAATACATTTCTGCTTGCACAGTTTTAAAGCAGCGCTACAAGGAACATACTCAAGTCACACCAAGTTGTTCTCAACAGCTACAAAATGATACTGATATGAAGAGAACCGACAGATGAGAAAACCAATACACTACCCCACTGCAGATTTAAGTTAGAATCAATGATTTGCAACAGTTTCTGAAGAAAGACTAAAATGCTACAGCTGACTAAGCAGCACAGTAATTCAGCAAGTCCTTACCTCTTCCTCCCATGCTACTGCTACGCACTGGTCCTGAAGGTGCAGATCTTTTTGGTGGAGGGCCCCCACTTCGTGGAGGTGGACCTCTCTTCATGGGAAGTGGTCCTCGAGAAGACCCTAGAAGGACAAGCCATGAAGCCACTTGTTATTTCTGTGATACTCACCTCTATGTCCCTAAAGCCTCAACTGTAACAACTCAGGCACTTTTACTACCACTATGTGATCAACAGTAAACCTCTAAGATTAGACCTCAAAGCCTTCTCTTGTGTTTTGGCCACTACTAGATGCTACTGGCAGAAATAAGAGCCCACCAAGTTAACTTTTCCACAGCCTAAATTCCTGCTAAGAGCTATCTTTTAGAACTTACTGAAAAAGCCACAGGGTGTGACACAAGGGAGAAAGACGGCTGATATCTGTAATCGGTCACAGCTTAAGTGCAAGAAGTTACTGTTCTCAGAAGACAAGAGCCACCTGGGAAGATGCACTAGAGAAGATCCTACACAGAGAGGGAACAGAGGCACTACAGAGTCTGTAGAACCTACCACACAGACTCGTCAAGACAGGAGTTTTCACTATTTCCAGGGATTATTTCTGCATTACAGCTTTTACTTTTTTTACCTCAGGTGCTGCTTGCTTTTTCTTTTAAGCAACAGTTTTGTTTTGATACTGAAAAGTCTCTTAATAAACAGCTGTATCTTTAGTTAAAGAATATCCAGTATCAAGTTATGTACTATCTTTCCACTTCAGAAAGCTTCAACTCAACAAGCTATTTTATTAAGACAAACAAGGCTTAGCTTCCCTAACTCCCACTACGATCTGGAAGGATCAGTCCTAAAATTTAGTAAGTTTAGACCTCTTGCTAGTAAGAATGAAAGGCAGTTCCCTTTCCCTGGTGGAAGAGAATCGCTTTTTCAACTTGAATACCAGAAAGCTTCCTTCCTCACGTGCAGGGCAGGAGTTTTGATTTTCTTTCATAGCCAAAAGTCAAGTGGAGTGTTAGTTGTAGAAGGGAATCTTCGTATTTGAAAGCCTTTTCTTAAAGGTGTACTTGCCTAATCAAAAATTTGACTAAACTGCTGAGACCATATTTCACCATTTTAATAAAGAACAGGGAGTGCGCTATTCGGCTGTTTGACTTTTTTTTTTTTCCAGTAGGATTATTGTCATCTTCCAATGGGATTGTCTTGTATGTTGTCCAAGTATATAATGAGAGAGGTAAATACATACCCAAGTGACTCCCTCTTGAAGGTGGTCCTCTCGCGCCACTTCCGCCTCTTCCACCTCTAAGGCCCCTGGGAGGACCTCTGCTTCGTGGAGGGGGTGGCGGCCCACGCCTACCACCACTTTCAAAGGATGGCTTGGTTGCTTGTTCCACTTTAATTGCTTTCCCATCTAATGACTAAAGAAGAAGCTGCTTTACTTACTGCTCAGTCACGTTTGTATTTCTTAAATTAAGCCCCTCTTGCTTGGCTATTAGAGGGCTTCCATTTTATAAAGTTAGAGCAACTCTAGAACTGATTTCAGTCTTCAGTATTAGTCCCCACGTACTCAGCAGCATGTTGGGCCTAATTTCTACAGTACTTCATTCTTGTGGTATTGATGAGAAAAAACAAAAACAGAGCAGCATCAGAAAGGACTTTCAGTGAAAACACAAGTGTCCAATGATTACGGCAGCCCCATGTCATTTATTCTGTAAATGAAACAGGATTTATGATCTCCAATTTACTTTCAATTGCCACGGACTTTTGTACCAAACTAGGACTGCACCAGTAGTTACATGATGAAGCTGAAGGTATCTTAGCTTCAGTTGGGATTTCTGGCAATGGGGAGGCCGTTTAGTACATTTCCTTGATGTCCTGATAAAACGGTGATCACTGAAGTATTTAGAAGTAATTTCAGCATTTACAAAGCAGACCGAGCATGATAATTCACCCCTCTTTTCTACTGTTTCAAGCTGGGGTTTCAAGGAAGGTGACTGTCACAGTTTACTCTATTACTTGCTTTTCCAGAGTGGAGGTGCTTTGGGGTTGGTTTTGTTTTGTCTGTTTGGGAGCTTTGCGGGGAAAAAAAAGTGGAGGTTTTTTCAAAATATCAACCTGCAATACCAGGAGCTCTTCAGCCAACTATTATACCTTAAATATGAGCAGGTGGTCAAACATATTGAGTAAGTCAACCTAATTAATCAAATTTCTGTGTAATCTTTCAGACACCACACATTTGGTAACTAGAGCAGAGCCAAGATCACAAGCTCTACTGACATTAGGTTACTGCACATCTATCCTGGCAAACATGGTTTATTTGCCTTTTTTAGCAGTAAATATTTAACTCTGCTATGACAACTCATTAATTATACAGGCAGTGTTGTTTATTGCACTTCTTTGCTGCAATAAATAACTGCTAGTAACGTCTTACTCTGAATTGGTGATAGTTGTCTACTGAGGTACTGATTTTTTTTTGTTCTCTGCTGAAATCTAGCCCTCTCTGAAATCATCCACTTCGGTGGCTCACATATTCTGCCACCATATGTAGTTACATTGGTGATAGTTGTCTACTGAGGTACTGATATTTTTTTTTTGTTCTCTGCTGAAATCTGGCCCTCTCTGAAATCATCCCCTTCAATTGGTGATAGTTGTCTACTGAGGTACTGATTTTTTTTTGTTCTCTGCTGAAATCTAGCCCTCTCTGAAATCATCCACTTCGGTGGCTCACATATTCTGCCACCATATGTAGTTACAGTTACTGTTTGAAAAACCCACAAGGTCCGACTTGGTCCATTGCGATGGGCAAGAGTTTAAAAAAAACTAGCAAAAACATAGTTGTCTTGGCTTTGACTTTAAAATATTTTACTTATGGAAGGTTTCTCAAAAAGCCTTTTGGCATGACAGGCTGAAACACTCCAGGTGGGAGCATTAGTATTTCTAATCTCTGGAGCTTCTCAGTTTGTACCACATCGTTTTGCCATCGTCCTTCATCCATCTCACTCATCCTTCCCAAGGCAGGAACAGTGGGCTTGAAGCCCTAGGCTTTGCCAGCACAACCAATGCTGTCCTCAATTTCATGGCAGCAGATTCCTGACAGCTTATTTCAAGTTTGGAAATCAAATACCATCCCCTTCTGCTAGCACAGGTTCTGAAAACCCTCATGCTAGGCCCAAGTTCTTTCCTTTTTTCTGTAGGAGGCAATTTTCCTTATGAATTCTCCTCCTGTTTCCTTCTGCCTTGCACTTATGTATCTTACCTAGATAAAATATCAAGCTTGTGGGTTTTTTCATGGCTTTATGCAAGTAGTCTTAAAAAGCTATGCCCAAGGCCCAAAAAGACCTTCCATTTGGTCCAAGAAGATTCTTTTTTGTTGTTAACCAGAAGGTATTTGTCAAAGTTTGTCCTATTTTAAAGGAGAAGGGACAACTTCATTTTATAGGTTCTTAAGTCAAAGAAGAAAGGTTTTGTCTCACTGAACAGATAGAATTCAAACAAGCCATCTCAGAGTAAGGATTTTTTTTTTCCAATGAGCCCAAAGCACTAGCTGTCAACATGAACACTCATTAATTGGTGTTTATAACCTTGATTCAGAGTGTTACAGTAGCATTTTTAGTATGATATGGGCACCATAAAGTATAGTCACCTCGGTGCTAAAAAGCAGGAAAGTCACTTAAGACATGAGTCATTTACAGATAATAACAGATTGGCAATCGTAAAAACTCCTACATGTGGAACCAACAATCTATACAGCTTTGTGATGTGAGGTGAGGAACCTTCACCAAACAGAATGAGAGAACTGTCCTGCAAACTGTTCCATGTTCCAACAGAAAAGACAAATGAAATTTGCAAAGCTTTGGGAGTGGGGCAGAAATCAAGTATTCTGAAGAAACTGTTAGAGACATTTGCATGAAACTGCACACTAACACTGCATAGTACATTCTGGAGCATTTTATTGTTGATGCAACAGTGACTCCACCATTTCTGCATTTTCTTTGATGGCACATCAAAGGGGCTTCCTTTCACCAAGTTATTCAAGAACTGAAGATCGTTTCTTATCAGGCTGAGCTTCTGCATATGCTATATCATTTCTTCACCAGAAGAACTGGAAACACTTTCTGATGATTAGAGGAAGACAACTTTCTGCAGCGCTGAGTACAGCTCAGACTATTGTTTGCATTGTAGTATTTGCTTCCAACCTTTTAACACAATCCAGCTGGTTTGGCAGGTCTACACTGGAATGAAGTCTTTGGCTTGTTCCAGATGTTTTCTCTAAGGTCATATTCTGTTTAATTTTCTATTTTGTCTTCAGGACTTAAAACCAGAAACTCATGCCAACAGCCTATTGCACAGGATGTCCACTATGGACTGGGGGTATTCACACTTGTGTCCAGATGGCATCAGAATGTAGACTTGATTTCAACACAATTAAGTTTCTTCTTAAAAAAGGCTAATAATTTACTATGATAAAGTACTTCTAACGTTTCTTCAGTGCTGCTCAGATAATGCTAACATTGATCCAATTCTGCAGAGAAAGTAATTTAAGTGAAAAATCTCCACCCCCGCTCCAAAACCATTATCTTCTGACCTTGTTCTGCAGGACGGAAATTAATCTTCAACAAGCAGGCTTAGACTAGTCTCCGCTTGTCCCATTTTAGCATGAAATATAATTAACCCTCTTCCTTCCCCCCACCCAGAAAGGAGCAAAAACATTAGATATTTGCTTTTCATGAACATTTGCAAAGCAAAAAAAAAAAATCAAATCCAAATTTACTCTTGCAGAATCTAAGTCAGCCTCTTCTCCTGGCTGCAGCTTTGAACTCCTTTGGAATGACAAACGAGCAACATGCCAGCTATGCAGATCTTCCCCACAGCCCCATTATCTTCTGACCTTGTTCTGCAGGACGGAAATTAATCTTCAACAAGCAGGCTTAGACTAGTCTCCGCTTGTCCCATTTTAGCATGAAATATAATTAACCCTCTTCCTTCCCCCCACCCAGAAAGGAGCAAAAACGTTAGATATTTGCTTTTCATGAACATTTGCAAAGCAAAAAAAAAAATCAAATCCAAATTTACTCTTGCAGAATCTAAGTCAGCCTCTTCTCCTGGCTGCAGCTTTGAACTCCTTTGGAATGATAAATGAGCAACGTGCCAGCTCTGCAGATCTTCCCCACAGCTAGACAGGTCAACCAGCTCCTTACAGACAGCTTCAACTATTCTCTGCACAGGGCTGCTGCTGCTTCCCAAGTGCCTGAAATTCTCCTGAGTGCTCCAATCCCTCATTTCCAAATGGACATGGAAACTCCCCAGCTCCTGAGTGCTCCAATCCCTCATTTCCAAACAGACATGGAAACTCTCAAGTTCTGATTTATTGCAGTGATCTCTTCCCACAGCACTCCTCAAACATCGTGCCTCCTCAGATCTAGAACATAGTCTTTTTGAGGTACAAGCAGTACTTAGTGTCCAGAGGGTTTTCTGAAGATGAGGAGAGCATGAACATCTTCCACATATTTCATATCCACGGTCCAAGCTAGACCAGTACAGAACTAGAACTATACAAAGCAGCACCTAAAAGTTTGTGTTAAAAACATCATTCTAGGCCAAATCCTGTATGAGGATGTTCTTTTCACACATTATTTGCTGTTTAAATGTCAAAGCAGATGAAGGCATTTTTTAGATTTGTGCTGTTGAAGACAGAAACGGTGAGAATGGCGATCCACGAGGCAAGGATTTTTCTAAAATTTCTTAACAGTGCTGCAGACGGTGCATTCCAGACCATGTAGACATTACCTCAGCCACAAACATCCAACCTCATTTAGCTACTTGACTAAGCATTACTTTCCTGAATGTTTACAGTGTGACCAAACAGGCCACAATATTCCAGATTCATAACAGTTAGCGATTATTTTCAGAGGGATTTTCATTGGAAAGCTGCACTCCACAAACACAGAATTAGTGACTGAACTCCTTTCAGTCTGATAATTAGCTGTTGGTGCTTGAAGTTACCTTAAGCAAGGGTTCAGTGTAATGACTACTTCAGAGGAAATCAGTGCTTTAAGAACTGCAGTAAACAACTCTTCAGAACTGCAGCAAACTACACAATGGAGAAATAAATTCAATAAAAGGAGCACCTTTAAGGATGTTCAGGCTGGTACAGAAAGGACATTATCTGACTTGTCACTCTCTGCCTTGACACAAACTACTAACTTGTTTACAAATGAAGCAAGTTTCCTAAAGAAAGTAACACTAATTGTCATGAAGTCATCCTCAAGCACCCAGAAAATAAGTACACACAGCAGAAAACCTGCTATAACACAAAACAAGGAAGTTTTACTATTTGTGTTCACTGTGAACACTAGACCAAGCTCATTTTCTTATTAAAGTGCAGATATTCATTATGCTTTACTTACTGACCGCAACGACTAACATTCCTCTTCCACTAACAAGAGAAACAGCTACCAAAATCCCAAGTGTTAATCAGAATCAGCAGAGGCTTCTTCACCTTCCATGAACATCTCAGAGACACTGCTTAGAAAAAGGCCAACACAGTGTGACCTCAACACGAGTATTTAGATAATGCACGAGAAGACCAGAGTGGAATTCAAGTTAATTAAGAAGATGGCTTTCACTGCCTAAAGAGACAGTACCTCTATGAAGATAAGCAGCTGTTGACGCTTAATTTGCTAACTTGCACCTACTTTTCAAACACACACTGGAACAGACAGATCACAACAGCCTACAATCCTTCCACAGACTATCTTGGTATTTATCTCAGAACTTTGGTTCCAAATTCTCAGGTTTTTCTCTATAAAGACAATACATACACACATTACATTTTTATTTCCCCTTAAAGTTGTATCATCACACTGTAGGGTGTAAACAAGCAAATTTAATTGCTGGCTAACTGCAAAGCTGTTCCACATTAACGGTAAGATGCTCATAAATCAAGAGCAGATTGATGATGCAACTCACAAATGCATGAGGATATCTACAGATTAGCAGATAGTGCATCAATACTACAGCAGGGAAGTTACATGAAACCCACGTTAAGGGAAACATTTAATAGTTTTCAGATAAGTCACTTCCCTGGAGCGTAATTTACAAAGTACTGCATTCAAGTATGATCAAACAAAAACATGATAGGAGATGTACAAGAATGAAGAGCTGACTATTAGAAAGCTCCCCAAAACGAATTAAAAAAAGAAAACGAGAGACTATGACTGACTGACAGCCAGACTTCACCTTCTACTGTCAAATCCAGAATTGTGAGAAAGTGATTCCAGCTTCATGGACACAGAGACATTTTACCAAATTTAAACTCATAACTTGTCTTCAGGATCTTCTAACTCATTGTCTTTCCAATTTTTATTACTAGTTTATTTACCCCAAACATCGATACTGCTGGTCAGTAACAACAGTGACATATAATTGGTCTCAATTCCTACCTTTCCATTCATATCTCTGGCTGCATCTTTTGCATCTGCTGGACTCTCAAACGTGACAAACGCAAATCCTCTGGACTTGTTGGTTTCACGGTCTTTCATCAAAAGGACTGCAGAAATAAAGCCACATTAAGTTACCTTTTTCTGTAATTAGGCAGCAACACTTCACCTTTATTTAACCTTTTAAGCTCAGAACTTCTTAGAGGACATGAAAGCAGCATCATATCAGATGATCAATGCCAAAAAAAGTCATCACAGCTATGTTGTTGCTTTTGATGTTTTAGTATCTTAAAATAACAAGTGGTTTTTTCTTTTTACCTTCCACAATGCGTCCATATTTGCCGAATACAGCCTCGAGGGCTTTCTCATTAGTTTCTGTGTTCAGGCCCCCAATGAATAGTTTCCCGGGACGATCTGCTTCAACCATTTTGATTCTGTAAATGACCTAGTAAAAGCACAAGGCTGTTATTAACACCAGACTGCAACAGAGAATTCCACACCACCTCATGGAATATAAATGACTTCTTTCCTCAACAGCACTAGCACATCTTCTTGAGCAAGATGTCAATTAAGAGATATTAAGAGCATTTAAAAAAATATTTTTAGACTGAAGCAACTAAAGGTAGTACTGCCTTCAGTTAATTCTTCACATTATACAGTCTATTTCAAATAGATTATCTTTGGAAAAGTGGAACAAACCACTGATAAGAACTTTCATAAGATCAAATAGTATAGGTTAAAGTGAGAAGTCTTTGGGGTTACTGTCTTTTTTGCCCTCGATGGTAATCCTAGCACACACTCCCCCTAAAACAGATGTTTCAAAGAATTTACTTAATATGTCAAAATACCAAATTATTAACTTTAAAGTCAGCTTGGCCCAGGATTCTAAATTAAGCTCATTCTTTATTTAAAGAACAATGACAGGACACTTAAGTCCTGGCCTACACAACGTGTCAGCCTGAACAGATACCAGACCATCCCTGCAGTCCAACACAGCAAGGCCAAGGCTAAGGCGAGGGGGTGGGGCGGGAAGGGAGGACTGAAGGAAAAAAAAGAGCCAGACACAAAGACAAAGCAAAACCTCGAAATGCCTGGCAAAACGCCTGGCGCCTGTGGACAGCCGTTACCCGCATGCCTCCCTCCAGCCCAATGGCGGGAAAGCCCGCAGCGGCGCGCAAGGCGGGCCTGTGCAGCTCCCCCTCCACACCACAAGGGCCGAGACAAAGCCGCCCCCCCGCCCCGGGCAGCGGGAGGCCGGCGGGGGCCGGGCCGCAGAGGAGGCCGCGGCGGGGACCCGGCCGGGGAACGGGGCGGGGAGTAGGGGGCGTCAGACCCTCCGCCGTCTGTAGGCACCTCCACAAAATGGCGGCCACCTTTGGAAGGGACACTTCTCCCTCCCGCCGCACAACGACCACCTCGGCGCTAACCCGGCCGCGCACCTCGACTCCCATTTTGAACTATCCGCCCGGCCCTCCGGGCGCGGCCGCCGCCCTTCTTTCCCTCCGTCCTTCCCCGGGGATGCGGAGGCCCACGCGGCGGGACCCCGAGCACAAACCCCCGCACCTAAAATGGCGGCCAGCGCGCCTCACGCGGTTGGGACCCCCCACTTTCTCCCCAACACAGCCGCGCTGTCCCCCTCACCCTCCGCGGGGCCAGGCGGCCGGAGGGGGGGCAGGCCCGGCTCCACCGCGCTTCGCCTCGGGCCCGCGCCCGGCGGTGGTGCAGAGAACAGCTCCCTCACCTCCCACTCCGGCCCTCCGCTTCGCCGCCGCTTTCCGCAGCCCACCCACGCCCCGCAGGGCCCCGCTTCCCCCCTCCATAGAGCCCCGGGGCCTGCTCAGCGCGCCTGGCACCGCTCACCTCCGCTCGCACCCGCCTGCAACTGCGCAATGAGGGCGAACAAAGGCGCTGCAGGCCTTTATAGCGCTGACGTCACCGGCGGGCCGGGGCCCCGGATGCAGGCGGCGGCGGGGCCGGTAGGGGGAGGCAGCGGCCGCGGCGGCGGCACAAGGCTGGGAGGCAGCGGGGGGGGGGCGGCTCGGTGGGGACCGGGAGAACCCCGTCCTGCCCGGGGACCGGGAATTGGAGCGCCCCGTTATGCCCAGGGACCGGGCGTGGGACGGGGCCGCCATGAGCGAGGAGCGGGCAGCGGTTCCCGCTTTGTCCGCTCCCCGTCGCCATCCCCAAGGAGCGGCCCTGTTGATCCCTAAGGCAGATTTTATGTAGTTTATAAATGGTTAAACTGTAGAGAATCTTCTTGTAGAGAAGCTATTTTAGCAACCTTCCCAAGTGGTTTCAAGGACTTGGTAAGATCAGAAAGGATGTGTGTGGCCCTGAGAAGATGGTGACCCAAGACAGGGATGCGATAAATATGGACATTGTCTGACAAACAGGGGGATAGCAGAGAGATCATTAGTTTTAATGAGCAATTAAGCAGTTGGAATGTTTTGCCAACAAGTGAGCCAAAGGACAGGTGAAGAAGATGAAGCTTGAGGAAGAAACGACCCCCACTCAAAATGAGGACCACCAGGAGGCACAACGAAGCGTGCCCAAAAGCTTATTATATTATGGAAATGAATTCTCAAAAATGCAATGAATATGCTACTATTTTCTTGGAATTCCATTGAATGTGTGTACCTGTTGTGTATAAATTTATTTAGACAACAGCATTCAGTGTAGTACCTGTTGTGTATAAATTTATTTAGACAATAGCATTCGGTGTGTGCAACAGGGGGAGCGATACCCTGTGCACCCGGTGCCGTGATAAGGAATGCCTGCTTTCTGAAATTAAATTCAGTCTCCGAAAGTGTTATCTGCTGGTTTGCGGTAAAACTGTCAGCCATTGGGGAGCGAAATCCCTCGCCGTGGGGTCAGATTAACCTGGGGAGGTGTCTGTGCAGGAGCTTAACCCTGTCCAGCTACAACAGTCTCCAGGTGGTTGCAGTTAATTAACACGTGTGTGTGTCAATGCCCCTTCCTCGGAGACTTAAAATGAAGTAAGTGCAGTTTAAAGTGAAATACACTGTTGGTAACACAAAGTTTTGTGCTGGTTCAGTTAGAGTTGTTCAGCCTGGAAAAGAGAAGGTTCCAGGGAGACCTTAGAGCCCTTTCCAGTCTCTAAAGGGGCTCCAGGAAAGCTGGGAAGGGACTCTTGATCAGGGAGAGGAGCCATGGGACGAGGGGGAACGTTTTTAAACTGAAAGAAGGGAGATTTAGATTAGATCTGAGGAAGAATTTCTTTGCTGTGAGGGTGGTGAGACCCTAGGCCAGGTTGCCCGGAGAAGCTGTGGCTGCCCCATCCCTGGAGGACAAGGCTTTGAGGAACCTGGTCTGGTGGGAGGTGTCCCTGCCTGTGGCCCATTCCTGCTCCTTGAAGAAGGGCCCTCAGAGTTGATTTCTACAGGATGCAAAAGCTAAGGAAGTGCAGGTACCTTGAACATTTTCGGGTTTCATATCACTCCTGACGTATCCTTGTGCAGTGAGGGAACAGTGTCAAGATGTATCACAGGTAAATTGTTGAATACATCTGGTTCCCATGCTGAAATCCCTCTAGGGTTAACCAGAGGACTTAGAACCTCAAGTGAAGCCCCCGATGCCAGGTTTGAGCAACCCCTGGGGTGCTGAGGGATGTCTGTCCTGAGGAGCTGGTCTCCAAAGCTCCTGTGCCTGTCCTCAGCTGTGGCAGGTCACCAGGTGGTTCTTCCTAGGGCTTTTCAGAGGTATCCATGCCGTATGGTAGGCCGTGGTGCCTTGGTGACCTCTTTGGGCTCTCGCTTGTACATAGCAAAGTCACTTTCCTTACAGATACCACAGCACGTCTTCATGGAGATGTCCGTAAGCTGGCAGGGATCCACAGTGAACCTGCTGGGAGCTAAAGTGGGAGTGTCGACCTGCTTGAGGGTAGAAGGACTTTGCAGAGGGATCTGGGCAGGCTGGATGGATGGGCCGAGGCCAGTGGGATGAGGTTCAATAAGGCCAAGTGCTGGGTCCTGCACTTGGGTCACACCAACCCCACACAGCGCTACAGGCTGGGGGCAGAGTGGCTGGAGCGGCCGGGCAGAAAAGGACCTGGGGGTGTTGGTCAACTGTTGGCTGAACATGAGCCAGCAGTGTGCCCAGGTGGCCAAGGAGGCCAACAGCATCCTGGCCTGGATCAGGAACAATGTGGTGAGTAGGACTCAGGAGGTGATTGTCTCCCCGTACTGGGCACTGGGGAGGCCTCACCTCCAGTGCTGTGTCCAGTTTATGGCCTTTACAAAAAAGACATTGAGGGGCTGGAGAGGGTCCAGAGAAGGGCAATGGAGCTGGTGAGGGGTCTGGAGAATAAGGCTTATGAAGAGAGGCTGAGGGAGCTGGGGGTGTTCAGCCTGGAGAAAAGGAGGCTGAGGGGAGACCTTCTCGCTCTCTCCAACTCCCTGAAAGGAGGGTGTAGCCAGGGGGGGTCGGTCTCTTCCCAAGTCACAGGCAATGGGACAAGAGGAAACGGCCTCAAGTGGCACCAGGAGAGGTTCAGATTGGATATTAGGAACAACTTTTACATGGAAAGGGTTATTAGGCATTAGAATGGGCTGCCCAGGGAAGTGGTTGAGGCACCATCCCTGGAGGTGTTCAAAAGACAGGTTGACATAGAGCTTAGAGACATGGTTTAGTGATGGTTTTTTCTCAGAGTTAGGTTGATGGTTGGACTAGATGATCTTAGAGTTCCCTTCCAACCTAGACAATTCTATGATTTTTTTCTTCGATAAAGGGAAATAAAACGCCGCCTTTCCCATCTCTATCTACTGCCCTCCCAACTCCCTCCCACGCTGTTAGTTGTGCCAGCTGCATGGAGGAGGAGGAAGGGATGCATAGGGCTGAAGCAATTGGAAATGGCAGTGTAGTTTCCCAGACTCAGAGTCGCAGGAGACAATATGGACCCCCAGCACATTGCCTTATCCCCTCTCCTCATGCATGGGATGGACGTTGCTTAGCTCCTCTGCGACTTCTCCCTCGGGTGTTGTACAGAGCTTTGCTTCTGAGAGGTGGCACAGAGTCTGTAGACTCTCCTGGCACTGCCCAGCGCCATTAGGGTCACAGAGCAGCGTAATTGTGGCCATCCTGATAAAAAACACCAAACTTTTAACTTCAGTTTTTCAGCCTCCTCTGTTCAGGTGCTGATACTCAGCTGTTCTTTGTGTTGGGGGGAGCAGAAGGCAACATCGCTCCAGATTGCCTGACAGATGTGTGGGGAATACAAAAGAAGGCAGCCCTCAAGAGGGTTCTCTAGGCTGTAAGTACAGATTTAAAGATGCTTGGCTTTCCAGCGTAGGTGCTGAGAGTTTCTGGATGCTGTTACTGTGCATGGGAAAAGGGAACGATGACCTTCAGTAACGAAGTGGGAGGGCACTGCATGCGATAACAATGCGGTTGCCGGAGGATGGCATAGCTAGACACTCATCCCATTATCATATGAAAAAAAAAAAAAAAAAAGGTTCCATTTCTAGTTTCAATACAAAAGAATTTCAACCTCAGAGTCTCCCTGGAACGGAGAGTGAAAACTAAAGCAAATTGTTAATCCTGTAAGAAACATGCTAAAAATGGTTTCCACCTGTGTGTGAAGTCTCTGTGTGCCACTGTGACCTACAGTAGTCCATTTGCTGACCACCTCCCAGGTAATTGGAAAGATAAGCAAATACAAACTAAAGTCCCTTTTTCCTCCTCTGATTAGAAGAGTAAAATACTTCATTGGTAACTCCAGACTTCATTTTATTAACATTCTGTTCTTTCCAACCATGAGGATTCTGTGTAGCTAGATGGGATTGGCATGAACATAGTTACATTTGAAACAGCATTTGAACATAACTGCTGTAATCGTATTAGGGCCAAATTCTTCTGTCCTTTGTCCTAAAAGGCATCTTCATCAGGCTTTTCATCAAAACTTTCATTCCATCTACACTGCAAGCTGGAACAGTGTTTTACTATATTCCACTACATAGTTTATGTATGGTCTTGCTCCAAGTTCAGCGAGTTAGATCTTTTTCCTAGAGGGTTATAAGATATATAATTCTTCTCATTCTTTCCCCTCCTCTCCTTTTTCTTTTTCTTTTTTTTTTTTCTTTTTTGTAAGTTTGAATTTATGTAGAAAAATTACAGAAACCTTCAGGGAACAAACTGCAGTCTGAACAGAAACTAATCCCTCTCATGCTTCACTTTTTTTTTTTTTTTCTTTTTTGTAACTTTGTATTTCTGTAGAAAAATTACAGAAACCTTTAGGGAACAAACTGCAGTCTGAACGGAAACTAATCCCTCTCATGCTTTGTTCAGTAAGAAGTTTAAGGCTGAGTAGTCATGACAGTATCTTTTGCAGATCTCTCAACTTTGAATTTTCTGGTAGGAAATTAAGATAGTAATAAGAAGTCCTAATATTGGCACCTACAGGACAGGAAACAGACTTAGATGGGATAACTGTGGAAACAGAGAGCAGGAAAACTCCCTCAACCTTTACACAGAAAACTGTTGCTATTTAACTAGCATAGATATACTTGCCCTTGCATTTTCAGAGCTTAGAAAAATTCCCTTACATTTTCTAAAATGTCAGTCTTTTGGGTGGATGTTATGATGTTTAACAATGTAGTGGAATTTACACTACAAACCTGTACATACAGAGAATCTCCCTTGTACCACGCTGCATATTTTCATCAAACATATTGGCCTTTTATCAAGTTCATCATACTTTGGGTTTAAACTGGATAAAGGGTTCAGGACAGCCGGGGGGTGAGGACTAATGAATACATAAATAATCTGATCACCTAAGACTCATTCAAAATGAATAAAAAAGGAATGTAATTCCCTTTAGATACATAGTGAAAAGCTAATAGCTGAAAAGGTCAGTTTAATACTTTCATGACAAAGAGCAATTTTCTAGGCAGCTGTCAGTTGATAGGT